GAAGGAAGGAAGGAAGGAAGGAAAAAGAAATAAGGATGAATGGATAATTGGATAAAGGTAAGAAGTAAGGGAAAGATGGATGGATGGAGGGAAGGAATGAAAGAAGGATGGATGGATAATTGGATAAAGGGAAGGAGTAAGGGAAAGATGGATGGATGGATGGATGGATAGATGGATGGATGGAGGGAAGGAATGAAAGAAGGATGGATAGAGGGAAGGAGTAAGGGAAGGATGGATGGATGAAGGGAAGCAATGAAAGAAGGATGGATGGAGGAAAGGAGTAAGGGAAGGATGGATGGATGAAGGGAAGGAATGAAAGAATGAATGGATGGATGAAGGGAATGAATGAAGGAAGGAAAAGCAAAAGAGCACCTTTTTGGTGCTTTAAAACTTTCATACAGACAAAAGTGTGACATGTGAAACGGGAAGATGGAAGCAGCACTCAACAGCAGCTCACGCAAACCCCTCAGACACACCACTGCCTTAGACTGAGATCCTTCAATCACTGATGGAAACATAGTCAGTGTGCATGTCTGAACACCAGCCCTGGTTCCCTCTCGTGGTCTCATTAGCAGCACGTCTCCTTCTCAAATTAGAGGTCATCCTGTCTTTCTGCCGCCGTTTGATCGCAGTTCTTCAGTCTATTGATAAGAGCGAGTCTTCCAGAAAGGGACCCTGCAGTGTGTGTGTGTGTGAATGTGTGTGTGTATCATACTCCGGGTCCTCAGACACACTCCACATTCTCCGCACATAGATTTCCTTATTATTAATCTGTCCTTCGGGAGCTTTTCCATGCTGCTCAATAACTGCCTTCAGATCCCACTAGACACTGGAGTGTGATAGAGAGCGCTTCTTTCCCTCGGCTTCTTACCAGATTAACCGCACAATCCATTAATAACAATCTCCCACACACTTCATTTTGAGCACTTTATTCCAAATGACATTAATTTCAACCGCGAAATACATCGGGGGGTGTAATGACAGCACAGATATTAATTAATTGCATGTGTAATTGCGAAATTAAGTTTGGGGAAGTTGGTAATGATCTGAGGAATTACAAGACGTGCGCATATTATTCGGGACTTTTGACTGGCCGCCATGGCCTTGGTTGTAATCCAGAAACGCTTCAGATTTTTCTCGTTTTTTTTTTTTTTTTTTTTTGTGCGTCTTCGCTTAATCTCGCTGTCATGCCCATCACTCATGTCTGACCATGGGCTTGCTG